TTTTTTTTTTTTTTTTTTTTCCTTTCTCCTCTTTTCTAAGCCCAGAAATTCGTAATGAACCTGTCAGCCCGCTGCCACTCAGTGTCACACTGGATACGCCACACTCCTATCCGACTGCTAATGGGACCATGCTTCTGGGGTCTGTCAGGGCCTCGCCACACCACTCTTGAAACGGGAAAATTTTTCAAGAGCTGTCAGACGTTCTCAAGAGTTGGGTTTTCAAGAGTTTCGGGCCCCTCGCCACACAGCACTCTCGAAAGGGCGATGGCGTTGGACAAACGATGAGAAGCGACATTCGTACAGCTTTGTTTTTTACGAATGGCGTCAGGATAACGGCCTGACATATCTCGAAAATCAAGGGCCCTTGGAGTGCCCTCGGGAGGACGCTTGAAAAGAGCGGTGCTGCAGGCTGGGCGTTTCCGAGTTTCGAGTGCTACTCTTGAAACGAGGTTCTGACAACTCTCGAAAGAGTTTTCGGGCTTCAACTCTCAAGTGGCTGTGTGGCGACATATCCAACTCTTGAAAACGCGGTTTCAAGAGTGGTGTGGCGAGGCCCTCAGTGCCCAAGGCTGACATTATCAATACAGGATTGAGGCCAAGGCCGTCGCATTTTTAAGAAAAACAAAAACAAAGAATCCGGAGGTTTGTGCATAAAAATACCATGCCGCTGGCTTTTTGCCCCTAAACATTGTCAGAAAATGGGATGCTGTTGATTCACGTTTGTTTTTTAATAAAACTTGGGGCAAGTACCCCTGTGTCACACCTGTAGTTCAGAATGGGCAAAAAAAACACAGTTCAGCAGGTCCCTGTCGTTCCCAGTTCATAAAAGCGAAAAAAACATCTGGCGGCGCTCCCGACAGATGGCAAGTTAAAAATGGGCAGTTTTGTCGTTTTCAGGACCAGTTCCTTCCCGGGTACCGGGGCCGTCCGTTTCAGTTGGGATAAAGGGTTGGAGGACAGAGTAGCACCTGCTGGGGGCAAGTCCCACATGCAGAATAGAGTATCTGGATGTGTTTGTGGAGATGTGGGGGTCAGGAAACCCAATGTCATTTCTGCATAGACACGTCCAGATTCGAGCATCGAGAAAAAGCAAGGCTGCTGGTGGGACTCTGCACCCGGCCCTGTGGAGCTCGCCCAGAGAGGTTGCAAATTCCGTTACAAGTGGAGTCCCAGGGAACTGCGCGGGCGAATTAATAACTGGGAGCGGGTGCGAATTGTCCCGAGAGAGAGAGAGAGAGAGAGAGAGAGAGAGAGAGAGAGAGAGAGAGAGAGAGAGAGAG